TTTGGGTGATTCGGCCATAGGCATAAGCAACCAAAAATGACATTGATGTTTCGCACCTGGTTGACCAGAAAAAAAAAATGATGATAAAGTTGCCATAAATGACAAACTCTTAGAGAGAATGGATGCATTTAGTTGAGGTCAGATTAATGTTAGGGTTCTGGCAGACTTTCCAGATGAAAGAGTCAAGAGCTCCAGAGAAGTACAGTGGAAATTCATCTTTGTAAACTGATAGGTGAATGAGTTCTGGTAGACAAGGAAACAAAAAAATTTAGAAAGATCAGAACAGAATGGGAAATGTGGAAAGGAAGTTGAAATGACTACCAGAACTGCCCTGCTCTGCTATAAACTTTAAATTTAATATGGTTTCTTCCCAGCCAAAACCAAAAGAAAAATACATTGTGTTCTGAATTTTGCTTATTTAATTACTGATGCTAAACATAATTTCGTGTGGAATTTTTTCTGAAAATTAAAAACAGGGGCTGTGTATGTATCTCAGTGGTAGAGTGCCTAACATGCACCAGGCCCTCAGTTCACCTCCCAGCACTGGGGAAAAGAATATATGTAGTGGATCCCTTGTGTGTGAATGGTGCCTTCAATATGGAACTGCAAACAGCCAATTCTCCCAGAATCTACTCAGAATCCTGAGGATATGCAGTAACTCATATCTCAGTGAAGATATCTCTTAGAAAATTGAGAAAGATGCTGTGTCCTGATATTTTAACATAATAGACTGAAAGTCCAAATAAAGTGTTTCTCATTGGATTCTGATTGAGTGGTTTGTTATCATGAACCCCGATTTAACTAACCAAAGATCTAAATTAAGCACTGCTAATAAGCTACCTATTAGTTAATTTACATTGAATTTCTACTATGTACCCAAAAAACATAGTTTCCTAGAGCATTCAGAACAAAGCAATAATTTTTTAAAAGCACACTTCAGACCTGCTTTCAGGGATCTGCTGATATATATATACAGTTCAGAAGAAAAATATCTACATGAAACTATTGGAAAACAATTTACCCATAAGACCACATAGCAGATTATGTTATATTATTTCATGCACGAGAAAACACAGCATTAAGGATTCACTGTGTTTGAAAAAATTTCTTGAAAAGGTTGTTTCTAAATTGAGTCTTAGAAGAATTAGTAGAAGTAAATCAAGAAAAAATGTTGAAGTCTATTGGCATCAGAAAATTGGCATTGAGCATTGACTAGGGAGTCAGACTTATTTGTTTATTCATTTAACATTTGAACATGTGCTGTATGCCAGGCTCTAGAATACAAGTACTCAGTGAGCCAAGGTATCTTTGCCGTCCTGGAACTCACATCTTAGGGGCAAGGCTGATACAAATAAGTCATCACATCAAATGAACAAGAGAAATAACTGACTGTGATAACTGCACAGCAAAAAAGCCTAAGTAGATACTGAAGGGCTAAAGGAATTGCTGTAGTTTAGATACTCTTAAAAGTCCTGTCTGAGGACCTAACATGTAGGCTGAGATCTGAAGGATAAAAAACAGTTGACTACAGAGGAAGGAGAGAGATGGAGAGAGATCTCAAGAAGAGGAAGCAACTGAAGCAAAGCTCTGGCTTGTGAGGAACTGGCTTGTGTACAAGAAATACAAAGGATTCCTGCCGAGTGAAGCCCGGTGAATGAACATGAGCGTGGTTAGAGGAGAGTTCCGAGAGGCAGACAGCTTTAGGAAAACGTGTGAGGTGCGAACAGGAAGGTGCTTTTGCCCCAGGTTCAACTAAACCTACGTAAAGCAACTTACGACTTTCTTTTAGGGCTACCAAATTATTACTCAGGAAACGTTACTGAGCACCCATTACGTTCTAGCAGCTGTGCTAGAAATACCAGGTATGTGGGTATTGAGAGCGTAGAGGGAGACAACTGTATGATGGGAGCTAATGCTGGGGTCTTGCTGGATGATCATTTCAAAGGAGTTAGCAGCAGATAGATCCTGAACACTTATTTGTCCTGAGGAGTTTAGATTTAAAATAGTAAGCAGTAGGAAATCACCTTGGGATCTTATTCAATGAGAATATCTTTAGTAAAGATTATTATAGAAGCTGTGGAAAGGAAAAATTGGAAGCCAAAGAAATTAGACGCAGAGAGACCAGCTGGAAGAGTGTGGAAATAAAACAGGCGTGAAGCAGCAGAGAAGATTGCTGGCAGTGGAGACAAGGGTAGGGCAGGGGCCCAAGAGTTCAGCAGATATCCTGCCTCTCAACGTATTAAGTGACTTACAATTTCTGTCTCCTGTTCTATTACTCTCTTACTGTGTGTTTTGTGGAATTGAATCAATGTTCACCATCTCTTAACCTGTGCGGTCTGTATCACCGTGTTCTCTTTTGCTGCTGAGTACCTTCTAAACGGTACTTGCCCGTAAACTTGTAATTTTTGTACAGGTTCATTTCATTCTGTTTGAAGAATGTAGCCTGTCTGGTCTTCCATGAAGTCCCAAATTAAAACACCCAGCTGAGCCATTCCTGAATTCTTCACTCACAGAAATTGTAAGGCATCATAAAATGTTTACTGTGCGTTCGGCCACTAAGTTTGGGGTAATTTGTTACGCAGCAGCTGTTGTACATATGCTCATCCTTTGCCATCTAACTGCGATGCCCTCACATCATCTGAAGATGCTGTGCTTCATTTACATGCCCTTTAACTCCAGGCTCAGCTGTTTCACTTGTTTGCTGGTAGAAGGCTGCTTGGCCCCTCCTGTCACTATGAGAGAACTATGCCCTGCCTAGCCTACTGGTCCAGGAAGGAGAGACACGGGAGCAGGGCCTCTCCAACCAACCCAGAGTCCTACAGTGAACTGCTGAGCCACCAGTCTAGATTAGCTGATTCCAACTGATCTAAAGGCACAGGAGCAATAATAAATGATTGCTGTTTGAAGCCACTGAATGTGGGGTTGTGTTTACCAATAGTAAACTGGCATCAGAGACTTGGGGGTGCAGGTTAAGGGGCCAAGCCCATCATTAAGGAGCTGGTTGAGGAGCTTAACTGGAGATGTCTAGGTTAACCTAAGCTCTGCCTCATGGAGAAAAGAACCCTCCCCATGCAGGAGAGAGCAAAAATTTAGTTTCAAGAAAACCATGTTAGGGCTATTCATGAAGCATTAAGTACTTTTTAAAAGAAGCATGAAGAAGTTTATAGATAGAATTTTTAAAGTACACGCTCAGAGTGTAGGCCTTCAAGAGAAGTGCCCATTTGCTGTATTTTAAAGTTTTTATTATTAATCCTCTTGTGAAAAATCCATATAATCCCTGCAGAGTTGTTGCATAATCTTTATTCCTTGCTAGTCCTCTTCTGGCCCCTACCTTTCTTCAAGCTATTCTTGTACTTCTTGCACAGGTTGTGTGTGTGTGTGTGTGTGTGTGTGTGTGTGTGTGTGTGTTTGAAGTGTACTCAATTTGATTTTTGTAACTCCACTCTCTCCCTTACTCACATCTCTTTATCATCTCCACAAAGTCTATCTCTCTGTTTCCTATCATCTCTTTTATTTTTCTCTTTCAATTATTTATATTTTGGGTTTCTCATTTAAGAGAAACTATGCAATATTTAACCTTCTGTATCTGATTTATTTCACTTAGCATTATAGTCTATAGATCCATCCATTTTCCAACACATGATTCAGATTTGTCCTTTCTATGCCAGGTATAAATTTTCTTTATCCATCATCTGTTTTGAGGCATACAGGCTGCTTCCTTAATTTTGCTATTATGAACTATGCTGCAGTAACATGGGTATGCACATATCACCCGTGTAATATGAGAACTTTAACTCTCTCAGGAAGATGTACCCCAGAAGAGGTATATCTGGGTGAAATAGAATTTCTGTTTTGGGGGTTGGGGGCAGGGGAGGTGTTGAAGAATCTCAATACTGATTTTCATAGTGGTTATACTAGTTTACATTCCCACCAACAATGTAAAAGGGTCCCTTTTTCCTCACAGCCTCCCCAGCATCTGCTGTTTTTTGAGACTTTGGTGATAGTCATTCTTACTGGAATAAAACAGAAGAATCTCAGTGTTGCTTTGATTTGATTTCTCTAATGGCCAAAATAGTGAACACTTTTTCATTTACTTATTGACCATTTGTGCTTCTTTTAAAAAGTGTGTATTCATTTCAGTAGCCCATTTTTTTAATTGAGTTTTCTGTTTTGGGAGATCTAATTTTTTTTAGTTTATTGTATATACTCTTTATACCAGTCCCCTGTCTGAGGAGGAGCTGCAAAATTTTTTCCAATTCTGTAGGTTGCCTCTTCACTGTTCATTGTTTCCTTCATTGAAACTTTTTAGTTTCATACAATCCCACTTGTTGATTTTTTATATTATTTCTTGTGCAATTAGGGTTCTGTTCAGAATGTCCTTGCTATACCTATCTCTTCAAGAGTTGTATGTTTTATGAGTTTTATGTTCCAGCAAATTCAGTATTTTTGCTTTTACACTAGGTCTTTGATCTATTTTCATTTGATTTTAGCAGAGGATGAAAGATACATGTCTAGATTCATTCATCTGTATGTGGACAGCTAGTTTTCTCAGCACCATTTGTTAAATAAAGAGGCTGTCTTTTCTCCAGAATATGGTTTTGGTCCCTTTGTCAAAACTCAGATGGCTGGGGGTGGGGGTTTAGCTCATTGATACTATGCCTGCCCTGCAAGTGCAAGGTCCTGAGTTTGATCCCCATTCAAAAAATAAATAAATAAATCAGATGGCTGAACATACATGAGGTTGTTTCTGCATCATTAGTTCTATTCCATTGGCCAACATGTCTTTTTTTGTGCCAGTACTGTGACTGTGTTGTTTTTATTACTGTAACTTTGTTTTTTGTTTTGTGTGTGTGTGTGTGTGTGTGTGCATGATACTGGGGATTGAACTCAGGACTTTGGGCTTGCAAGGCAGGCATGTTGCCACTAAGCTAAATCCCTGGCCCCTATTACTGTAACTTTGTAGTAACTTAAAATCTGGGGTTACAATACCTCCTGCCTTTAGAAATATGCAATGCTTCATGAGTTTTTGTGTCATCCTCACACAAGGACTATGCTGATCTTCTGTGTGTTCTTCCACCTTTAGTATGCATGCTGCCAAGGTGAGGACTCATGTTTTCTTGAGGTCTTTTTCTTCACATACAGACCATGTTTTGTGTCTGTGTTTGCTTTCATTTTTCTTTTGCTAATCCAAGGTATTATGTCAGGCTAAAGACAGTTACCTTGCCACCACCAGTGTGGATTCTTTTTTTTTTTTTTTTTTAAGCCAGGGTAGATTATGAATCCAAATATAAAGATAATGCCCAGTATGGCTTTGTACTGGTTTTTGTTGGTGTTTTTTGTTTTGTTTTGTTGGCTTTTTTTTTTTTTTTTTTTTTTTTTGTACCAGGGATCAAATTCTGGTCCTTGTGCTTTTGAAGCAGGCATGGAGCCACTAAGCTAAATCCCTGACCCTTGTTGGCTTTTTTTGATGCAGTGTCTTGCTATGTAGTTCAGGCTGGCCTTTAACTCATTATGTACCCCAGGCTGGCCTGAAGCTCACAGTGATCTTCCTGCCTCAGCCTCTCAAATGCTAGAATTACAAGCATGTACTACCACACCTTTTATTGCTTTTGTACATTTTTGTGAAATTTTCTTGAATTTGTCTTAGGTACTGTTGCAGCCATAAAGTAGTGTTTTATATGTAGCCATTATCGTACATGTGTGCAAACAGAGGCACAGAATAATAGTGATGGAGAATCTAGGACTTTTCAGACTGTTCCTGTAAAAGAGGATGTAGGAAGACCAGGGAGGTTGGCAAGAGAGAGGGAATTGGTGAGTTGAAGTTGAAAGAAGATAATTAATCCTGTCAACATGGAAGAAAGTTCATAGTGAATGGTTTATTTTATAGATTGGGAATAGGAAAGGTTTATTTTCCTTTTTTTGAAGTTAAAAATACTCCTATATATATAAAAGCTATTTTAAAAAGAAAACATATATTTTAAGAGGTTTAAACGTGAAACTGTTTGCTGTATAAAAGTGTTAAGATACTCTGGGGTGTGTTTCATTGGTCCAGTTACTCACAACCTGTCCCTCACATTGTACCCAAGGCCTATATTAATGAGCTAATAAAACATGCCATGTCCGCTTTTATTGTTTGCTGGACATCTGTTCAGGCTTGTTTCACTTGCAAACTTTCCAAGACTTTGAAGATGCTGAGAGTAGTAATGATAATGAATACCTATACCACCTGCCTTGCAAGTGCAAGGACCTGAGTTCAATCACCAGTACCAAAAAAACAAAAATAAATAAATAATAATTTTAATAACATCCTTTTTTTCACAAAGTAGAAACAGGCTTAAATCATTTGCTCCAAGTAAAAACGTTTAAATTATTCCAATTTGAAGACTACTGAGAATAGTTTGAAATGATTTGTTTTAATTATAAAGGGTACTAAATATATAAAAGTATGTATGGCAGATATATGTAGGCACTCACTACCACATTTAAGAAGTAGTATTATATATTTCTTTAATCCATAACATTTTTTATTTAATGGAAGATCAAATGCCCCAAAGATAGCCTAGCATGATGGTACACATCTGTAATTCTAGCAGGAGGATTCCGAGTTTGAGCCCATCCTGAACAACTTAGCAGTACTCTGTCTCAAAAAGAAAAAAATGGCCAGGTGTGGTAGCACACACCTGTTGTTCCAGCACTTGGGAGGCTGAGGCAGGAGGATCAAGAGTTTGAGGCCAACCTGAGCTACATAGTTAGTTCAAGGCCAGCCTAAACTACATAGCAAGACCCTGTCTCAAAAATAAGTAAATAAATAAATAAGTTAAAAATGGACTAGGGATGCGGCTCAGTGATATGACCCTGAGTTCAGTCACCAGTAAAAAAAAACAAAATAAAAAACAGCAAGGGTGTTGTAAATTAAACATAATAGAAACTGAATATAGGAGTAAAAGATTAAATATGCAACCAAGAACTGTCGTGTAAAGGTACAAGATCCCAATGATGAATGTAACTGTACTGTAAAATGTACCAATAACCAATAAACTCAATGAGGAAAAAAATTAAAATTAAAATTAAATTAAATTGAAAAAAAAGATTAAACATGCAAAGGTGGTAAAGGTTGATCCAGATATTGAGAAGGTACAAAGCTATCAGTGAAAGCTTAGTGTGCATAGCAGCCCTCTTTAAAGTGGATCTTTTTGATGGATGTTTTCATTTGTTAAATACTTAAATTAAATTTGTACATCGTTTGGAACTGCTCTAGGTCACTGACTGATGGCTATCTCAACAAAACATCTTAAAAGGCAGTTTATTTTCCTGGAAGATGAAGCTTCACTGTTAATCATGGAAATTCTTTATAACAGGGTACCACTCTGATCAAAGGGAAGGAGGAAAGTATTCAGAAAATGAAGGCCAAACCTTCAGTAACCATCCATTTGATCTGCATCCCAGATCACTCCTGACCTTGAGAGCTAATAGCTGCTGCTCAGTATTTCCACTTGGAGGTCTCACAGGCAGCTCATATTCAGCACATCTAAGACCAGATATGTGATCTGTCCTTCCAAAACCATCCACTGTTCTCTCTTCAGAAAAAGCAATGCCATTCATCCAGATTTTCAAGTGAAAAATTTAAGGTTCCCTCTTTTACATCCTTGATGAGGAGCCCTCACCGAGCTCCCCCATGGATGCCTCATTCCATCTCCTGCACCACCACCTTAGCTAAAAGCATGACTGAAAGGGAGTGGAGAAAGCAGTTGCTCTCCTGAGTAGTCCATTCAAAAGTAGACTGTAGTGGTTAAAAACAAAAAAAGCTGAATATGCTTTGCCACTCCATCTGTCACCTCCTAAGCGGTGGTGGGAATCCTGCCCTTTCCCTTAAGTCTTAATGGGCTTGGGAACACCTCCACCAGTAGCATATTGTAGCAGTGGAACTTTGTGGCTTCTCAGACTAGATTCTAAGAGTGTCTTGTGCTGCCTGTTCTCTTGAAACACTGCCTCGATCAGCTCCCCTTAGAGCACAGCCAACATACTGCAGGAAGCCATGTGGAGGCTCCAGGTGAGTTGCTGTGGTTGTCAGTCACCTGTGGAGGGAGCCAGTGCAGTAGCACATACCTAACTGTGTGTGCGTGCGTGAGTGAGTGCGTGCGTGCGTGCGTGCGTGCGTGTGTGTGTGTGTGTGTGTGTGTGTATAAGCCATCTTACTGGAATGGATCCCCTGTGATTCACCTACCCTGTACCCCAGCTAGTTAGATCATCCCCAAACCTCTGAGTCACCCCAGCTTTTCTGGTCTTCCCAGGCTGGTCCCCAGATATTGTAGAGCAAATATGCCATCTTCACTGTTGGCTTGGCTCATCTAAATTCCTGACTCACAGAATCTGTGATCATAATGAAATGGTTGTTCTTGTATGCCATAAGTTTGGGGGTAGTTTGTTATGCAAAAACAGATAACTAGAAAATGGATCTCTTCAACATTTTTTTAAGATGATACTGGGACTTGAACCAAGGGTTCAGTTTACCAGAGCTACATCTCCTACCCTTTTTATTTTACTTTGAAACAGTCTTGCTAATTTGCACAGGCTGGGGTCCAATTTGCAATTTTCCTGCCTCAGCCTCCATAGTAATTAGGATTACAAGTATGTGCTACTATACCTGGCCCCCTCAAAAAACCTGAAGACAATTATATTAATGTGATGGTTGTTTATAAACCACACTGCAAAAAATGTGGCAAGAAACAATATACTTTCAAAATTTCACTCATTGGATCCTAATAAGAGGTTGTGCTAGTCAGCTTGGGCTACCATAAACAACAGAAATTTATTTTCTTATACTGCTAGAGGCCAGAAATCCACGATGAAGGTTTGAGCATGCTTGGTTTCTGGGGAGGGCTCTCTTCCTGTCTCCACCCCATCAAGTTGAAAACCAAGTTAACATGGTTACCAATCGGCTTCTTTCCTAGACCGTAATAACTGTAAGGCTCTAGACTCCGGCTTTGCTCACTGGCACAAGCACCTAGAACAGTATCTTGTGCATAGAAGATACTTTCTAAATCTTTAGCAAATAAAATAGAGGAAATAGAAATGGCTAATCAATGACTTCCCAAGTTTGAATGAACTTGTTACATATTGTAACTTAGATCAAGACTGTTCCCCAGCCCTTAGATGCTGTTAGTGCGGTTTTAGGAAGGTGACTGAACCATGGGGGCATTATTAGCTGACTGTTGGAAGAGGCAGGTCAGGGCGGGGGTCAGGGGGGTATCCCTTCCTGCCTCCTCCCTTCTCCCCCTCCTTCCTGGCAGCCATGATGAGCAGCTTTTCCCCCACTGTGCCTCTCAGCCACACGGTCCTACCTTGGAGCCAGCCAATCATGGACTATATCCATGTTCCAAAATAAACCTCTCCCCCTTTAAGCTGTGCAGGTCGGGTATTTGTCCCAGCAACAAAAAGTAACTAAGACATATGATAACATCACAGGCAAATATAATTTTGCCCAATGGTAAAGAGACAGTCTCATACTTGACTTATAAATGTGTATATCAAAAGAATCTTTCTTAAAAAAAAAAACAACCTGGCAAAATATTTAAGAGACTTCAAAATGTTCAGATTTACAGAATTGGGCTAGGGATTTAGCTCAGTGGTTCTGCCACCTGCCTCGCAAGCGCAAGGACCCAAGTTCGATACCCGGTACTAAAAAAAAAAAAAATATTTACAGTATTAAGCAAATAACTGTCCTTGTAGAATTTGTCTGTGGTAGCCAGCCTCTGAGACCATCCCCAATGACTGCCACCTCCCATACAGCAGAAGTGATGGTTTGTCACTTCCAAGATTAGGTGTCCACTTGCTCTCTGGGGAAAGCCAACTGTGCTCACGTTTGAACAGCACTGCAGCGTGGCCCAAATGACAACTACTCAAGCCAACTGCCAGCCAGCACCAGTGTGATCTTGGGAACAAATTATCTAGGCCCTTTATACGATGGTAGCCCTACTCAACAGCTTAACTGCTACCTCATGAGAAACCCTGAGGTGGAACCACCTTGCATGGCCGTTCTTGATTTCTTGACCCTCAGAAACTGAGATAATGTTATTTTAAGATGACAGGTTTTAGGGTAATTTTCTA